AGAGCACAACTCAGGAAAGATCTGCAGGGAAGCAGGAGGCAAAAAATTCCATTTTTAGGGATTTTTTTAAGAAATGAATTGCCAGCTTTTGGAAAAAGCAGTGAAAAGAGATGTCCTTTGCTGTCAGAGGAGAATGGTTGGACCTTTTTTTAAGAGAAGCACAAAGAGAGAAAAAGAGGGTTATGAAGATGCATCAAGGGCTGGAGCCCCTCTGCTCTGGAGCCAGGCTGGGAGAGCTGGGGATGTTCACTGGAGAAGAGAAGGAGCCAGGGAGACCTGAGAGCCCCTTGCAGGGCTTAAAGGGGCTCCAGGAGAGCTGGAGAGGGATTGGGGACAAGGCATGGAGGGACAGGACAAGGGGGAATGGCTTCAAGCTGACAGAGGGCAGGGTTAGGTGAGATATTGGGAAGGAATTCCTGGCTGTGAAGGTGGGCAGGCCCTGGCACAGGTTGCCCAGAGAAGCTGTGGCTGCCCCTGGATCCCTGGAAGTGTCCAAGGCCAGGTTGGAACAACCTGGGACAGCGGAAGGTGTCCCTGCCCATGGCAGGGGGTGGGATGAGATGATCTTTAAGGTCCCTTCCAACCCAAACCTTTTTATGATTCCATGATCCTGAGAAGGTCTGTGCATCCCCTCGAGGTCACTTCATACAAAAAGGGGATGAATTGGTCCTTCCTTCAGCTTCCCTTGCAAACAACAGCCTCTTAAATTAGGAAAATTTAGGGGAAAGAGGTGAGAGCTCCTAAAGATCTCCCCTTCCTCTTCCTGCACAAGAAACTTCCAAAGTATTTCATTATATCCCGTGTGGCTGAGGTGCCTCTGGAAGTAACACACTGCAACTGGTTCTGCATGTGGAAAAGTGGGAAGGGGCAGGAGTGGGGATCAAGGCCGTGCTGCTCCTTGTTCCAGGGATTTGCACGACCCAGAGCCCTGGGGAGGCAGGGAAGCTCCCAGCCTGGCTCTCAGCAGCCCAGCTGACAGCAACAGGAATGTTCTGACCGCATTCCCTCTTGGAATCACTGGCACGGGCGGGAGGATGGAGGGAAGGGTTGGAGTTGTAACACACCACCACTGCCTGAAGCTCAGAGCTGTCCCAGGGGTGACTTCAACTGCGGCCAAGGCTGATGGAAAAGAAGCAGGAATCTGGCTTGCAGCCCGTGTGTGGTCACTCAGAAGGGAGGGAACACCCTGGAATTCCACGTGAGGGCGGAAAAGGAGTGACTGGAACCTGAAGGTGGCAGGGGAGACTTGGCTCAGTGTGATCCCCGGGGACAGTGGAACAAACCATGTCCCGTGGGCAGGCGGCATTCCTGGGCCTGCTCTGCTGTTCCAGGCTGCATCCCCGAGGGCAGGGAAATGCCAGGCCCACTTCTCATTAAGGAAAAGCGAGGAAGGGAAGTGCGAGTGGCTGCTCTGGGGGACTCTCAGCTCTCCAGGGCACAGCCTCGGACACCCAGCCCAGCCCCAGCCTGGTGATGCCCCCACCTCCTGCTGCCTTGCTTGAGTTGCTCCAATCTGGGAGTCAGTGCCAAATATTTGGTGGGGAACCCAGGCAGGACGGGCGAGGAGGGATGAAGGAGATGAGCTCACGGGTATTTTCCTTCCCTCTCCACTCCTATGAGTCAATCGATCCGCTGAGCTGGAGCTGCTGCCCTGGAGAGGTTTGGTTCAGGCAGAGAGACCTCGGTGAGCTGCTCAAAATCCTCCTCTCCCTCATGGGAGCTGCTTGGAAGGAGAAAAGCACCCTCAGAAGAGCTACAGGGAGGGAAGGGGAGCCCCAGGCAAAATTAGTGCTGGGTGTCCTGCAAAAAAAAACCCCCATGGATGATGGTGAGGGCTCCTCGGGGTGGGGAAGCCTTTGGAATGACACAGGCAGGCTCCAGAGCTGAGTCATGGAGAGGGAAAACTTGAAGTCACCTTCCAGATCCCCCTGTGGTCCAAGGAAGAGCCTGATGGGGTGGCCACAGCAGCCTGTGCTGGATGAGGATCCCGTCGGCTGTCATGGGACGGTGTCACCCACGGGGCTGGGAGGCAGCCTGGCACTGGGACAAGGATGTCAGGGCTCTTGCAGGATGCCAGACCCTACGACCTGGGCCCTCACAGGTCACTCCCACAAGTGTTTTGGTGCAGCAATGTATTACATATTACATATTACATATTAATTAGAGCAGCACAACGGTGGGGTCGGGATTAGGAGGACACCGGGTTTCTGCTGATGCCAAACCAGAGGTGACAACCACCCTGGGGCTCTTTTCCCAGCATTATCCTTGCACCTTGGCATCTTCTTTTGACCCTACAGAAGGCAGCATGCTGCTGGCAGCAGCACTGTCCCCCGGTGTGGTCACAACCCTTTGGAGTTGCCACTTCAAGCATCACACTCCTTGGCTGCTTGGCCAAGCTCCGGTGTGTCCCCTCCATCCTGGACACAAACCACCCTGACGAAAAAGCCGAGGAATTCCAACGCGTCCCGGACAAGGCGCTGCGCCTGTGTGGCACTGCCCTCTGCTGTCGGTGGCCGTGGGGACACCGGGCTGAGCAGAAACACCGCGATTTATGTCACCTGAGGCAGCTGGGAAGCCGCAGAGCTGTCCCCAGGAGGACGCTGTGCCCGGGGCTGCTGGATGGTCCCCAAGGCGTGACGAGCAGCAAAGCCCCTGGAGGGCTCAGCCCTTGTCGGGCTTCCCTTTTTCCCGGGCTGAAAGCAGAAGTGGGGGGGCTATTTCTGGTGCTGCCTCACCTCGGAAAGAGTCACACGGAGCCCAGAGCATCACCCCGGCCACGGCACCTCCTGTGGGCAGAGGAAATGAGTAACAGCAGGGTCGCTGCCTTTCCGTGACCCTCTGCCTTGGGGCTGCCTGGAGGAACAGGAGTTTCCTTCCACGTGCTGGGATCACCAGCTTCTTGGGGACCTGCATGAAAAAATGACTCTTCAGCTGTCTTTTCCAGCAGAGAAACGCTCGGGAAAAGCCTCCCGGTGATAATATAGAACCTTGTTTGTCCTCCCCTCCATCAACAGCCTTATATTGCCTTTCCCAGAGCTGGAAGAACTCTTGGGAGAGGATAACAACACACAACATGACCCCAGAGGTGGTTCTATCTCCCAAATTCTCCTCAGTGAAAGGCCTCTAGATGGGGCTTTAATGCAATATTGCTGCCGGCCTCTGCCAGGCTGGGATGGCCCCCGGAGCCACCTCACCTCCCAGCACCCACGGGGGCAGCCGGGGGGGATGGCACGGTGGCACCTCACCCCCACCAGTGGGATGAGAGAACTGAAATATTCCCAGATCCTGGGGAATCACGGGGATTTGCGGAAGCTGGATTGGATTTCACACCCCTCCCAGCACGTTTCAGCCCCTACCCCAAGGGTGCTGATCCACAGACACAGTGGGAACCCCAAATCCCACGCAGGGGTGGATGTGGGAAGTTTGAACTGTGCTTTTCCATAAGGCAAAGGTTTGGTCAGGAACCGGGCTGAGATGTTTTATACATTAAAAATTAAAACATCTTCTCCTCTCCCACCCCCAAAATAAGCAGAATCCACATGGATTCCAGTGTTGGGAAAGCTGGAAATGCCTGAGTGCACGGCCAGTGGTGGGAATAAATTCATGGAGCTCCCAGTGTCACTCCAGGTGCTATTCCGGGACAAAAGGTTCATCTTCACTATCCCACCCCCTCCCCACCCCCGTGTGGCTCCTGAATTGGTTTGTCCACAGGCTCTGGGGGTCAGAATGACAGATGACCCCACCATGATCACTCAGGGTCTCACTTTGCTATGTACCCACTTGTCACCTGCTGGGCACAGCTTTGTGCAGATGAGCTCAAACCCCCAGACTTGGTGGCTTTTGAGATGAGAGCCCGGTGTGTGTCTTCCTGCCACGTGTCCCCGTGGGGACAGGGGGTGGCTCAGCAGTGACACACACACACGCTCAGGAGGGAAACCTTTTTGTTCCTGGGTGGCAGCAGCGCTGAAATTACCTCGGGGATGACGGTGCCAGTGACGTCACCTGGAAAAACGCTGCCACAAAGGGTGACATTTAGGGCATTAACCACTTCCCAGCCTCTGCACCACTGCTCAGCTCTTGCCTGAGCTCTGCACAACCACCCATCCCTGGCACGTGCACCCCTTGTACATCCAACCCCTGCACATCTGAGCCTGGCACATCAGCCCTGCCCTGGCACATCCACCCTTTCCATATCTGGCCCTTGCACTGCTGCCCATCCCTGGCCCAGCTGCCCATCTTTGGCACATCCAGCCCCTGCACACTTGGCCCTTGCACACCCAGCCCTTACACAACTGCTTGATCCTTGCCCAGCTGCCCAACCCTGCCACATCCAGCCCTTTCATGACCTCCCGGCCCTTTCTCAGCTGACCAGGTGTGGCAAATCCACCCTTGGCCCTTGCCCAGCTCCCCATGCCTGGCCCTTGCACTACTGCCCATCCCTTGCCCAATCCCTGGCACATCCAGCCAACCCCTGCACACCTGCCCTGATCCTTGCATGACTGCCCATCCCTGGCACACCCACCCCCTGCACACGTGGCGCTTGCACCGCTGCCCACCCCTTGATCCAATCCCTGGCACATCCACCCCTTGCACAACCACCCCACCGCGGGCACATCCAGCCCTCGCGCAATTCCCCGACCCTCGCACAAGCACCCAGACCCGGCACACGCAGCCCTTTCACACCTGCCCCCCTTGCCCCGCTCCCCATCTCTTCCCCAGCTCCCAACCCCTGTGCCACCCACCCCTCTCCCACATCCCTTCCCCCCCCAATCCGCACCGCACCCATCTGGGTGTCCCCCCCTTTTCCCCGGCTCCCTCTCCCTCTCCCGCTCGCTCTCCCCGCCCCGGCGCTCCGTCCCTCCCCCGGGGGGGGTGTCCCCTGCTGCCGTCCCTCCCCCCGGCCGTGTCCCGCCCCCGGCCCGCCCCGGCCGGCCGTGCTCTCGGTGCCGGCCGCGCTATAAGAAGCGGGGCGGGCGGCGGGGCCGCAGCGGGCGCGGCGGGGGAACGAGATGAGCAGCGCCGGCGCCGCTGCAAGATGCTGGATGGACACGTCCTGCTGGGATGGCTCTCCTCCTGCGCGCTCCTAGGGCTGCTCGCCTGCGCCCCGCGGCCCTCCGCCGCCTACTTCGGGTAGGTGCCCCCCTGTGCTCCTGCTCTTTAACTTTTACTTTAGTTTTTTTTTATTTTTGTTTAAATGTTTTTTGGGTTTTTTTCTCTATGTGCCTCGTCCGTCCCGCCCGACGTGGGGGATGCTGCTGCGCTCCTTCCCTCTCGCTGGGTGCGGGCATCCCGGGATGACAGCCCGTGCCGGGAGAGGGGTACCCGGGGGCGACATCCCCGCGCCTGTCCCGCGTCCCACCGCTCCACAGCCGGGCGACCCCCGAATTCCTTCGGCGCTGCCGGGCTCTCCGGGAGCCCACCCGGAGCTGCCGGGCTGCGGGAAGCGGCCGCTGAGCTCGGGGGAATGCTCTGTTCCCCCTTTTTTCCGAGGGGGTGACCCGCATGGAGGGGACCTGTAGCGCGCCAGGTGCGGGGCGTAACCCCCACCAGCTTGGGACAACTCCAAAAAACTCTTTTTTCGCCCAATTTAACCTCATGCCTCAACACCAGGTGCTGGCCAGCGGGTGCTGGCATCATCCCGGCGGTGTTGTTTTTTTTTAGGAGGGGTGCGTGCCGTATCCACCTTCCCGTGGCGTGGAGGTGATTCCCGAGGGAGCGGGGGGGTCCCCGCATCCCGGCGCTCACCTGTGCGCGGGGCAGGGTGTGGCCGGCAGGGGGCGCCCCGGCCCGGCAGGTGGATCCCGATCTTTCCCATTCCCGACCCCTTATCCCAGTTATCCTCTTTATCCCCCTTTTCCCCCTTATCCCCTCTCCGTGGGCGCGGGGTTGAGCTGGAGGACCCAAGTAAAACCCGCTCCCTCCCGCAGCCACGTCGCGGGGCTTCAGCTCTCAGTGTCTTTCCCCTCTCTGCTTTTTGGGGTGTCACTGCCTCTTATCCTTTATTTTAAAACTGTTTGTCCCAAAATGTTGTGTCGGATTGCGAGGGGAGTAGGACGCGAGCAGTCGTGTACGAGGTTTTGGTGCAGGTTTACTCCAGAATGGTGATTCTTGCTTTTCGGTTTTTTGTTTTTTTGGTTTTTTTTTTTTTTTGGGGGGGGAGGGATGTTATGTTGTGACCGCTGGTAGGAGCCACCGGACCAGCCCTGGAGAATGTTTTAGCAGACTTGAGGTTTTCCCCCCTTCTTTCCAGTAAAACAAATCCCGGTGTTGAGGCTTGTCCATTGCTTGTGGTCTGGCAAAGCTTTCCAAACAGTGCTACTTACATCTTCTGTTTCCAACTCCGCAACCATTTAAACTTCCTGCTGCCGGGGCTGCTTTTCTGAAGGCAGCAGCCTGCCCTGTGTGTGTGCAGGGTTTTTAGGAAAAGCCCTCTTCTGCCTCGGCAGCACACGGAGGGCTGCACTGAGCCCGCTGCTCGTGTGTCTGCTGGAGACCACCGGCACTGAGCGGCTGAATTGTGCCTTGGGGACCGATGGGGTTTGGAAGGAGCTTGGCTGGAACTCCCCTGTTAATCCGTGCAGTCTGGTGTCTGCTGCAGTGCAGCAGGTAACTCATTCCAGTTCCTTCTGGGATTTCTCTGCTGGCTGGGGGAGATTTTTAACTTAAGAGGGGAACACGTTGAGCCACGGCCGGGTCTGTCCTGAGCAGTCTGGGTTGTTCTCTGTCGTGGTACAGCTGCTGTCTCGGATTTGAGACTCCCTCTCTGGCAAGAAGGAGGGGATAGGAGGTTCCAGATGTGGACCCAGCCAGATGTGCACTCCAAGTGCTCCGGGGCTGCTGTGGTGTGGAGTTTGCTTATGCAAAGCATCCCGAGCTTAAAGCCCCAGCGAAGGAGCAGCATCTGCTGTTAATCTGCTCTTTGTTCTTCCAAGAGGCCTCAAGCAGAGGCTGCACTTGCTGAGCTGCTGGGGGGCACTGGGAGCACTCAGAGCCGAGATCCCAGGTCCTGATAATCCCTGGTGTGATATAACAAGTGCGTGTGGAAGAGCTGAGCCCTCCTCACCGCGGGCTTCTGTGTACTGATAAGGAAGGAAATCTTCCCTGGGGAAAAGCTGGATGTTCCTGCAGAACTCGGAGCCGGTCTCTGCCAGTGCCCTGTGAAGGCTCGTATTGACTTTTCTTCCGATGGAGAAGCTGCTCCAGGAGAGGCAGCACATCTGTTTATTCTAATAAATCTTTCCTGAATGTGTCACCTGAGCTAAAATACTGAATTGGGCTCAGCTGATGCCCCAGCCTTTCTAGGCAGGGGGAGGGATGCTCCTTCCCAACCCGGGGCATCACCAGAGCCACCAGGACACTTTTTGGTGGCCTGCTGGACCCTCTGCTCCGGGTGCTGCCACGCCTGTCACAGGAGGTGGTGGGGCACAGACCGTGTTAAGCAGATGTCGTGGTGTGGCTGCAGCTTGGCTGCTCCCTTCCCCAGTCTGGAGGGGGATAGGGACAGCTGTGGATGATCCCTTCCTTCCCCCCCCCCCATCCCCAATGTCTTATTTCAGGGAAAGAATTCGGTGTCTCCAAATGTGTGGCCTGGTGGGGAATTAGTGGGGACAGAAATGGGGCCCTGGTTATGTGATAACAAGATTGTGTCAGCGTGCAGTTATGTCTGGGGCTGTCCCCGGGGGCAGCAGGGGGTGCTGGGGTGGGAATAGCGCGGCTGGAGGCTGCTGCTTCCCTGGAATTCTGGCTGTGGTGTTCTTGGAGGGATGCATAAGCAGCCAAGAATGAGAAGTGCCCTCTGGAAGCTGAGCTTGGTGTGCGTGTGTGAGGTAATGCTGGTGCAGATGGGGCTCTGGCTGCTGCCTTGGAGGAGCTGTGCTGAAGGAAATGGTTCAGTGTCCATGGTGAAGGGAGGGACAGGTTTTTCCCTTGCCTTGGGGTGACCTGGGTGTTGCTGCTCTCCTCCCTGGAGCCAGGAGGGAAGCAGGTGCCCTGGAACTGATACCCAGCACAGGCAGGACCTCATGGGATGCTGGTCTGCAGCACCAGTGGAGGTGAGACCCTGCAGGCACCTGTTCAGGAGGGGTTTTAGGGCTTATAGTCAGCCCTAACCACTGGAAAACAGCTGGAAGAGACCATCTACAGGGATGTGGTGGTGCTACAGCTCCCAAGCCTTGTCTTCTTGATGGTAAAAAGGAAAACCCGTGTCTGCAAAACTGAGCACAGCCCCCGTGGCTTGCTGTGTGTTTAGAGCTGCACATGAGGACACCTGACGATGGTGGGTGTATTTTGGGGTAGGAGGTGGTGTAGGAGACGGCTACAGGCTCAGTCTGCACCAGAGGGGGAAGCATTGCCTTGAGAGAAGTGTCAGCTGAGAGCAGGGTGAGATGCTCTGGCCGTTCCAAAAGTTCCCCGAGCTTTTCTGCCCAGCCATCGCCTCTGCAGCTGGGCTGTCCGAAAACTAATTTGCACCATATTCCAACTGGCTGGTGGGGGTAGTTTGGAGCAGCCCCAGACTGCTGGGATCCCTGAGAAAGCATTGCATTTCACTTTTCCTCCTGCTCTGCTTTCCCCGTGCCTTTTGCACGCTCTGGGTGTGGGCACCTCCCCTCCTCCCTTTCCTCCTTCAGATGTGGCTGGGGGGTGGTGGAAATGCCGGAGCAGCATCTGGGAATTGCGTTGGGTCTTGCACTGCTGGGCTCTGGAAGTGGCAGATGACAAGATTAGCCGTGCTGGGATGACAGGCAGGCCGAGGAACTCCAATCCTGCTGCGCCCTGGTTGCTGGTGGGAAGGAAGGGAATCCAGCCCGGAGGAGCTGCTGCTTTCCCGAGCTGCCTGATCCTGTGGATCCGAGGTGACAGCCTGTGCAGGGCCATAAATCACCCCGCCCCGCCCTCTGTTTCTTTCTGGGTGTTCTGATTTAGAGTCTGATTCAGTTTTGATGCCCCCACCTCCCTTGTTTTTCCCTGGCCGAAGGAGCGTTCTCAGCGTGTCGGGATTTGCTCCGCTCTGCTTGAGCAGCAGAAGGAGCCGAGCAGCTCTGCCCCCTCTGCAAACACTTGTCAAGACAGTAGTAATGTTACAAGTGGCTCATGCTTACATAGTGTTTATATTGACAGATTGCAATGTTCTTCATAAATGTAACCGATCTGCGCTCCGCACGCAGGCAACAGGAACCCTCAAATGCTCACGAGGGGGAGAGGGAGGGAGGGGAAGCATAGCTTGCCCTAATTTACCAACACACCCCTGGGGAGAGCAGGTCTTTTGCTGCACAGTGTGTGTGTGGGGGGGGTTTCCAGCGTGGGAAGTGCAATAAATATATTTTTATTCCCTTTGGCAGGTGCAGAATAGGTGCCCACGGGCATAACCGCGCCCTGTAGGTGCTGTTGGGTGGAAACTTTGTAGTTCAGGGGTGTAATTTTGCTGAAAGCCCTCGGAAAAGAGCTGGATGTTGGATGCAAGGGGTGTTCAGGAGCTGCGATCGCCGAGGGGGTGGGTGGTCAGGCACTGAACAGGCTCCCCCAGGGCAGAGGGCACAGCCCCGAGGCTGCCGGAGCTCCGGGAGGGTTTGGATGATCCTCTGGGGCAGAGGGTTGGGACTGCTGGGAATGGGCCTGTGCAGGGCTGAGGGTTGGACTGGGTGATGATCCTTGTGGGTCCCTTCCAACAGGGGCACAATCCTTTGATTAGGGATGAGCCCAACCACTGTCACTCCGAGCGCCTGGCATCAGCTCGAGTGTCCCCTCCAACAAAACCAATCCCACGGCTCGGCTCTGCTGCCTGTTTTTTCCAGCCCGTGGGACGCTCCGGGTGCTGTCGCCCATCCAGGATTTCCGTGCCTGTCACTGGATGGTGGTGTGGGGCCACCCGAAGGCGCGGGAGCTCCCGGGGCGAAGCTGCGGCGCGCTGGCTTCTCTCGCTCGGCGTGCGTGAGATGGAGCAGCTGGTTCTCCCGGAGCAAACCCGAAAAAAACAAAAACCTGGGCTCGGGTGGCGAGGCAGGAATGCGCAGAGCGCAGGCAAACACAGCTGGAGCCTGCAGAGGCAGCTCCCCGGGGCTGGCAGGGCGGGCTCTGCCATCCCAACCCCGCCGCGTTCTGGGTGGGTTTTTAAGGGGCTGGTTTTTTTGGGT